TATTAATCACATTAGACTAGCTATCTCTTGTAAATACTCTCCACAATAATAAAATATTTTAATTTTTTTTATCTTTCTGGCGGTAGTCACCATATATGTAGTTCTATTTTATTTATCTTGTAGATATTGGTTACTAACGACCTGCTACTATGTACTTTAAAATCATGGAAAAAAAAGTTCTGAGTAGACCAACGAACTAGAACTTGCCGATTAAAAGAGAGGAACAGATTTTTTTTGCACATTTTGATTATTTTTCTATTTTTCCCAATTCGGCGACCAGTGGGTGATTAAATTTCCACGATCCCCCTTGTGTGTGGTCTTGTGGACTTGTTTGAAAATGTGTATATCAACCCTACCTTCTTTCAAGACCTTTAATGCAGTGTTTATTTCCATCGTCGTATAGAATTACCCTTTGCTTTCTTGTTTCTTCTTTTCTTGCAGCTTTTGTAATGCATGCGTTTGGTAGGTATGTACATACCTATACGATTAACCTACATAATTGACTGATTTGTGATTTATTTATCAGTCAACGCTAATAGAAAGAATGCATTCGGTTTCTTTTTGATAATCTAATTGATTTCCTCAATCCTCTACGAAGCCGTACACGGGCCATACACACACTTGGTGTTCTTATTCCAAAAATAAGTGGAAATTTCGACAAAAAAGTGGAAACTTCGACAAAAAAGTGGAAATTTTCACAAAAAAGTGAAAATTTCTACAAAAAAGTGGAAATTCCCACAAAAATGTAGAAATTTCAACAAAAAAGTGGAAATTTCGACAAAAAAGTGAAAATTTCGAAAAAAAGTGAAAGCGGCGACAACAAAGCAGAAATTTGACCTTCCCCCGCCGCCCCATCGAGTGACCCATCATTTTAAAGGCCATCAAATATTTTTGTCGAAATTTCCACTTTTTTATGGGAATTTCCACTTTTTTGTGAAAATTTCCACTTTTTTGTCGAAGTTTCCACTTTTTTTGTCGAAATTTCCACTTATTTTTGGAATAAGAACACCAAGTGTGTGTATGGCCCGTGTACGGCTTCGTACTATAAGAAATACTGTATGAGTATAGTACCAACGTTGCTCTAGTGGAGCACCCTTTTTCTTTTAGACTCTTTGGTACAGTGTAACGCAATAATCCCGTAAGCACAAGCACAGAATCTGAGTAGTCTGTGCCGTAAGTAACCGGCGTTCTGCCTTGGTTAATTGCTAGAAAAGTAATATCAGATTGTATAGGAAATCCTACCGATAATAATATATTGATTACTGTTTCAAGTTGCAGTATATTGATCAAAAGTAGGCTTTCAACCAGTTGCTGGCCATAATACATTTGATTTGGATATGATAATAAGCCTTATCTTATCGTTTGCTTTCTACCGAAAAAATAACGGCTACAATTCGATACAATCTCAAATTAGTAAGTAATCATGTTGAAATGTCTGGCCCAAAACTATAAAAGTGGAACAGGTAGAACTTCTCACTTTTTATAAACAGATTAAATAAATGTCCCATCTCGAAAATGATGTACCTAGTATATAGGTGCATGCACAGGCATTTTAAGGATTTGTGCCATAATAACCATTAAAGAAAGGTCACCGAAACGTTACATATAAAAGTGGAGATTTACGAAAGAGAATAGGAGAGGCCAGTTAATGACTGGTGTAATTTATATGTATGTAGTCACGTGTCGTATAATGGTGTTGTTTGCGTGGTTTTTTTTATGTAAGTGATTACGTGGTGATTTTTTGGAAAATATACCTGCTCTAATAATTCCATTGATGTATCTTTTTTTTTTCTAAATTTTTTCGTTCGTATTTGGCAAACCTTTTATTATGTGATTAGAATATGGCCGTGCTAATTTTTTTGTGCTCGAGTTTCAGAATGTCAGAACCTTCGGTGATCTTAGACAAATGGAGTACGAAATGTGTAAATATTATCGACAAAAGTGTGCATCCTTTCTAAAATGTTGAAACAATGAAAAAGTTTGTCAATACCAACCGTTTGATTGACAACTTTCATTTTAAAACATTAGCATAAAAAATAAACCGACATAAAGGAGAAACGAAGGACCTGACACTTTTTATATGAGCTTACGTTAGCCCTGTAACCCTAATGACCCTTCAACTTTTGACGCCAAATTCATTATATAGGGTTATTGTTTTTTCTTAGGAAGGATCTTATATATCAAGTTTGAATAACCCCATGGCGGATTGAAGGGGGGTGGGGCGACCAGTGCCCCCTCCGAGATGCAAAATGACTTACCAGGCAAGAATACTAATGTCGGGTCGTGTCGACTGTCCACCAAATAAAAATTCTTATTTAAAATATATTTTTACATATAAATTGTTCGTCTAAAACCACTAAACCTTTTACAAAAAATTTACACCCCCCCCACTAAACCTTTTACAAAAAATTTACCCCCCCCCCCCCTCGTGTCGGGTTTCCGCCCCCATGTAATTCACTGGAATAACCTTACGGTCAAGCGTAATCGATCGAGCGGGCCGGCTGACAGACATATAGACTGACATTAAAGATACGATTTCAAGAGGAGTCTACCGGATCCGTAATAAAATCATATTTAATAAATTTGACAATGCATATCAAGATGGACATATTCAGTTACAAATATCCGTGCCCAAACTCGAACTGGAACCAGGGACTCTTAATGCCGTATGCCGCAGTTGGACTTCTACGCCACTGCGCCACACAGGCCGGCTATACAGTGTGTTCCAGGTAGAACACACCATAGGGAAACGGCAATGTATTTTTTCGCCAAGGGTCCACGAGGCCTTTGAAATTAGCGTTCAACGTACTACTCCAATCTCTTTCTAGCATCCCGCAATAATGTACCTTGAACCTAACTTCAAATATCAAAAACTTAGTGGATATAATTATTATGATCTCACACTGGACAAATTCTTGGTAGTCTCGTGTACTAAGATGCTATTGCGCATGTGCGGTGTTCTACTTACGGTGCAAAACATGTCTCTGTGTTACGTATGTTACCACAGATGCTGCTTATTGAAAGTAAATCAGAGGCTATATCTATAAATGTATATGATCTAAGAATGGGCGCTTTGGTTTTATTGGAAGAATCCATTGGCAAAAATCCAGTAAAGGTTTCCAAAGAATAAGCAACTCGTCATGTATCTTCTATTTTTCATAGACACCTAATGTCAAAATTCTAGTAAAATATCACATACCTACAGCAAACTTGATTCTGCACATAGGCGCACACGTTTTTGACTTCAATGAAAGGACAACTGCCAAAAAGTTCAGAATCCGCTTCATAATACACAACAAATTGATTTTATAATATGTCAACATTTGATTAAAATATTCAGTTGAAGTATGTACAATATATTGTAAAAGATACAGGTAAAAGTAAAGTAAATAAATAGCGTGGCTTTCAAGTTGACCTTATTATCTGCCAATTAACCGTATTATTTGCACTTTTACTTGTTAATACTGTTGTGGCTGTAGCTGTCACTCAAATAAATCAAAAATTGAAATTTTATGATTTCTCCTCGTATACCTCCAAAATTCGCTACAAAGCAAAATCCTAATAATGGCTCAAAATGAATAACATAGCAGACTCAGTAGCCTCAATCAACTTCCAAAAATTCTAAGAATCAATCGTAACACCTGAGATAAATCGGGCGCAAATAGAAAAATCTGAACATGAGAACTCTTATCTGGGTCGTACAAAGTAAACACACAAGAATTTGATTGACATTGACAAAAAAATTTATTCCGAAACACATACGCAATAAACCATCAAGAAAAACCTGAAATAAAGAGGGACACAACCCGTTTTTATATTTACCCCACACGCAGATGTTCAACCACAAATTAATAAAGCCTGTTTCACAAACGACTGATGATCAGTTCTGATGGTGGGTCAGACTAATCATCAGTCGAAGTATCTTACTTTCACATTCATGCGTTTGATCAGTCGGGAAAATGTACATGCAGATCGCGGAGCAAAGCGTTGTAGTCGCTTTGTGCGTTGCCGCTCCAAGCAGTACTTTTGAGTTCCTGTTTTTTTATAAGCTACTGATCTCGTATCCCACATTACTCTCCTCTCTTCTACCGCACTAACTAACCGTTCGGTATCGAACCTATACAGGGTGGTGACTTGCGTAACGCATCATAGGGATTTCAATGTAAAATTTATAACATGCAATTATTGGCTCCCCAAATTATTTTAGAGCAAAAATGTATTAAGGTCTTTTGTAGAAAAAAATTTTTTACGTAAATCAACCGTATTAGTTTTTAATTTTTTGCATACTAAAGACGGAAAATTGGAAAAATAAAACTCGCATCTTTTTCAATAATCTGCGATGCCATGGAATTTTCTAAAACAAAAAGATATCAAGTTATCAATTAGCAGCAGCTCGAAATGGATTTTATGATCGACTTGGTTACTGTCGTGCAGTTAACGGTGACTTATTCGAACATTTATTGTAAATTGTTATATGAGGAAACCGTTTTTAGTAATTTGGACTTTTTTTATGTCGAATTCGCTGTTCTAAATATAATACTTTTTGATAGAATTTGATTTGTTTTATAGCATAAATTCCATGGCATGACGGATATTGTCGTAGTTTTTGTATTATAAAATTCCATGGCATCACAGATTATTGAAAAAGATGGGGGTTTTATTTTTCCAATTTTCCGTCTTTATATGCAAAAAATTGAAAACTAATACGGTTGATTGACGTAAAAACCCTTAATTTGGGGAGCCAATAATCGCATGTTATGAATTTTACATTAAAATCCCTATGATGCGTTACGTAAGTCACCACCCTGTATACTTGTCTTGGGGGATCATTTTTTAAATGACAATGAAAGCGATTGTCAAATGTTACAACGTTGGTATTCCATACGCAACTGGTTGAACTGTTGATAAAATAACGTTCTTGGTATACCTCAGGATCTCCCTAAAAACCTCATCAGCAACCGTCTCATTTAAAGATATTTAAATCTTTCTTTTTGTTTCAGACGGACAGTGAAGTTGCCTGCGAAGAAGCTGCAAGATTAACTGCGGAACAGGAAGGGGACGGACAAGATGAAGATGGGATTTCCTATTGTGATTACCACGATATACCGCCGCCTCCTGATGGAGGGTACGGTTGGGTTATCTGTTTTGCTTCGTTCATGTGTAACATGATCGTCGACGGAATTGCGTACACGTTCGGTGTGTTTTTAGGACAGTTTGTAAATTACTATGAGGAACCGGCGGGTAGAGTGGCATGGGTCGGTTCGTTGTTATCGGGAATGTATTTAAGTGCGGGACCGTTAGTGAGTGCCCTTACAAACAAATTTGGGTGTAGAACTGTTTGCATACTTGGTAGCTTAATATCGACGTCCGCATTTATACTTTCAACGTTTAGTCCAACAGTAAACACTTTAATGATAACTTACGGTTTTATGGGCGGCGTCGGTTTTGGAATGATTTATCTTCCCGCCGTAGTTTGCGTAGGGTACTATTTTGAAACAAAACGTTCCTTAGCTACTGGAATTGCTGTGTGTGGGTCTGGAGTCGGCACATTTGCATTTGCACCGTTAGCAAACATGTTATTGGATGCCTATGGATGGAGAGGCGCAAATATTATTTTAGCCGGATTAATTTTAAATTGCATTGTTTTTGGAGCGTTAATGAGGCCGTTGGAATACCCAAAATCCTCAAACGTAAAGCCTCTTTTACAGCGAATGGCAGAAGAGCGCCGTTTTCAGATGGAACGTGGTAGCATTGGTGGTTCTTACTTCATGGTACAATTGCCAGATGGTACCATGGAAAAACGTATGAAACAGCACGTAAACATCGACCCAGGCGTCCACTCCAGTTTAAATCTTGATCAGTTGGCGCCCGGTACTCCAATCACTCCAATTCCAACCGTACCAACGTTACCAACGATAGCCGAAGGTAAAATACCCGATGGAAACGATTCTAGAAACGGTAGCGCTTTGGAGTTAAAAAGTAATATCGCTAAAAATCCTCGCTTGGATGAAATAAGAGGTCAAGAGGGCGGTAGAATACGTAGATATTCCGGAAATGAAACTTCAGATGCGCCTAACGAGAAGGCTTTGCCGCGAAATGCCAGCCAACCCGCTTTTACTACCCACGTTCAGGGAATCCCAAAAAATGGTTCAGTGCCCTTCTTTGATCGTATCCGAAAAACATCCTTAAGCGAACGCTACAAACCAAGTTTGAATCCAATTCGATCCTCATCTAGGGGCACCATTAGTTCAAATGGAAACCTAAGAAAATCGTCTTCGTTTTTAGGTAGCAGAAATAACAATGCCGATGATCAAATGGTGAGTACTTTATTTTGTTCTTTTCTATTATAAAGTTCTTTTTGTTTTATACCTGTGTTGTAAGCCACTGCGTTAGTTTTAAAATTGCGTAAACATTCAACTTTTGGTTTGTAGGTACTCACAGAAGTGGTAAGCAATTATAAGTTACTGTAAATGATTTAGGTATAATATTAGGAAACGTATAACTAAACATTTCTTATTAAGCACGTAGCCTAGACTTAGAAGGTAAGTAGATATTTAGAAGATAAATGCAGTGCACATAAATCTGTTTCCAACAACATTTTTGACAAAGGTCATTTGATAACAATTCATACAACGTAGAGCATGGTAATTTCATTTCCTTGCTATTCAAAAAAAGTAAAAAAAAGATTGTCCCATTTAATGTAAATTTTCCAAGGTAATTATAATTAAAAATAAACGCTCATTTATACCAAAATTTGCATTACAAAAAATATGTCCCCCCAACAGTATTCACAGATATCGTCAACGCTAAAGGTTTATTTCTGTTTGAAATGCAGTTAGTATTTAATGTACCGTTCATGTGATTTTCAAATATTAAATTTTTATTTTCTGTTTCTTATTGTTTTACGGGTTATTAGTTATAATCGTAATAATACTAAAACTAAACAGACTCCAAAATTAGATGGGTATACATAAGATAATATTGATTTATCAAGAAAAAAGACAGATTTTTCACTCGTGTGAAGTTGGCAATAACCAGCCAATAACAGATTTAGCATATTCATATGAAGTTGACAATTACAATACAACAGTAAATATACAAAAAGTGTATATGGGCGAGTAAATACGATTTAGAGTTGCTTGGAGCCTAAGTCACATAAATTTTGTGATTGATATCAAATCTACACATACCAACCCTTAAATAACGCCAAAAAAATTTGTACACATAGGGGAGCCCGTCCAGACAGCACTTAGGCACACCAAAGGCTCATTGTTCCTCTCAATTAAAGATAGGACCCTGTTTAGTTTAAGTTGCGTCACCTTCCCCAGTCCCAGATAGCTGTCGCCAGGAAGCTGATGCCTGCCTCTAATCAAGCCGTCACGGTGATAGACCACATGCTCGGTAGTTTCATCTGCCTCGCAACAGAACTTGCACCAGCCTGGATCACATTTTATCTTGCGAGGAGGGCCTGTGCCCAAGGCTCGACCCTATCCACTCGTCCTAGTCGTTTAGCCGTATGGAAGCCTTTTGAGCCTCTGCCTCCTCAGCTAAGTGTAAAGGCTCTAGTCCCAGAAGTGCCTCCATGGCCAAAGTTGACGTGGTTTTCATGGCTCCATTGACTCGCGGACAAACGAGTCTCTGAATCTTTCCTGACTGCTGCCTGTAGGATGCCCTGCGCATGGCAGCGTACTCGGCAGCGTACCATACGAGTGCACCCTACAGTATTATTGGCCTTATCACTACCAGTGTAAAGTCAATACATTACAGGGTGGTGTGTTTAAGTGGACCATTAGAAGTATCTGAGGAACGGTTTGGAATTTCGATTCGGAACCCATTATCTTTTTTGAATAATTGATCAAAAGGAATAAGTTAAACATATTTTCAAAATGTCCGCTTTTCGGGTTGTATCAGAACGATACCGGAACTTTCTTAATTCAAATGGCATTTTCGAATTCCTCATAAAAAATCAGTATACTTTGGCAATATGATGTTATGCCTTGCCTAGCTGACATGGTTTCAAAAGTGATTCGAAGATAATACGAATCTTTACTATGCATCAGTGGAAAGAAAACGGACAAAAAAATGTGCTTGCAACATTTTTCTAAAAAAATGTTCACTTTACCAGGAAGAACGTTCTCCATAGGCTCGCCCTGAAACCAGGATTTTGCCTCGGGAGGTGCTTCAAGATGGTGGCCGTGTCATTCATTCGAAATGAACTTTGATTTTCTGGAGATCAGCTCTGCTTGGTTGGAAACTAATTTGAGGCATGATTTTAGTTTCGAAAAATTAAGGGTGCTTTGAAATCTTCACAAAACATTACGCATAAATGATACTAAAAAACTTGTTTAGAATGAAAAACGTGCACAATTTCAAAGTTTTAGCCTACTTTGATTTTTTATTTTGTTTTTTTAACTGGGTTTTTCGGGAAATGCGAAAAATGTTACATAGAATACTGTTCAAAATAGAATGTAATGATCTTGTAGCAAATTTGAAGCCGATATATTTTATTTACAATATTTAATGCAGATAAATTGAGGAATTAAATATTGAAGGGTTCCTATCGGCTTCAAATTAGTTACACGGTCTTTATATTCTATTTTGGGCAATTTTTTAAGTAACATTTTTTCGGATATTATCAAAAAATCCATTTAAAAAATCAAAACAAAAAATTTTAAGTAGTCCTAGGACTTTGAACTTTTTTACGTTTATTCAGTTTTTCATTCTGCACAAATTTTCTAATAACATTTGTGTGTATCTCGTCCCCAAAGATCACTTCACTGGTATGCAAAAAAAACGTTTTTTGAAAATTCCAAGGGCATCATTGATTTCTCTAAAATTCTAAACTAAAAATTATGTAATAAACTTGTTTCTAACCAAGCAGCGCTTATCTCCAGAAGCTTAAAATTTAATTTGAAAATTTGTTGTCTTTTACAAGAGACGAGATCAGGGGGCACACTATATAATTATTCCGAAGCCCAAAACGCAAGCACAAACAATAATATGCCACTTAATGAACTGGGAAAGACGCGTTATACCGCTTATATCTCGCGTTATACTAAGAAAAGTAGGTCTATTTTCTATTTGCTCATGTGACGGGGCAAGTAAGGTGGTTTCGACCGGAAAATACACATAAACATTTTTTAAAAGCCGTATGGAAAAACTATGAATTTTGATCTTTTTTGTTCGGCGAAGAATTGCATTTTTTTTCTTCAAATTTTTAAAAACTAATCCGTTACTTTCATGTTGAAAAATCCCCCGCCCCCGATACAAAATTTCGTCCAGAGATACGGGGGAAAATAAAAAATTGTAAATTTCAGAATGACCCTACATTTCCTTAGTTAAAAGAGATACAGAAAAATATTTATTACAATAGCCATTAGACCTAACCTTTCAAATGGAACACCCTATATATTTTAATATAAAAAGAGCATATTAATTCTATTTTCAAATATATAACAAAAATTCAAAAAAGTGTCAAAAATATTATTAAAGATTAAAAATTAAAAAAAAATAGCTCAAATGAACATTTTTTTAATTTTTTTATAATCTACTTTAGATTTTTGAATCAATAGTATTTTTTGTTATACTTCTGAAAAGATAATTTAATATGCTATCTTTTTAGATTAAACTGGAAAGGGTGTTTCATTTACAAAAATAACGTCCGATAACTTTTTTACCTGACCCCGTATACATACATATTTTGACAACGGAAGATCTTTCAAAAGATCATTATAAAGAAACTTTTGTAATAAACATTTTCCTTCTTTTTTAACCACGGTGATATCTTAAAACTAAGAAAATACAGTCATTTTGAAATATACAGTTTTTTGAGATTGTATAAAAGTGTCAAAAATTAAAATGTGCTATTGTCGATTTGTCTGTCCTGTCCATCGCGACCTCAGCACTGAAGGGTCGTAGAAAGTTTGAGGTAGGGGCAGACCGCTCAGTTCAAGCGTTGATTAATACACGAGTATATTTATCAATCAACGGTCCAAGTGGAATTCGACTTTCAGAACGTGTTTTCAATAAGAAAATAAAGCATATTCCAAACTTCCAACGGATTTAAAAAAAATTGTTATAACGATGGAGTAAATGAAAATATGCGAAAAAGAAGAACATTGCTCGACTGCGGAACATGTTTTTCGACATAAAAAATTCAAAAACGATAGACCTACGGAGACGCTTTCACGGCTAAGAGAGGTAGAAAGGACGCACTTGTCGAATGTAGTAGAAGAGTAACCCTTCTGTCGGGAGAAGGGGGCTTCCGTAAGAGGTCTACGACGCTCACGACCCCCGGACCACGTTTTCGGACCTGGAGGGGAAATTATGTAACCCCACAGGGGCGAAGTACGCGCTTGGCGTATATATGATAATTGATAATACGGCGAGTTGGAACTATAGTGGTCGAAGGGGAGAGAGTGTGTAGGGAAATGCGTGCGATTACATCCGTAGCGCGTATAAATCGCGTGGAGAATCGCGACGCCGCCGCCGGATTCGAAGCGCAGCACGTGGGAATTTTTCAACGACAGATGCGTTTTGGGGATTGTAACAGTCGGCGAAAAATAGGAAATGGCGCGTTTGATTCCGATTCGCTTTTGCGAAGTATAAAGTGTATACTAAAACGAAATATACAATATAATACGCACACACAAGATCATGGCACAAGATACAATTTTAAATGCCAACTGTCAAAACTAATAAAAACAAGGGTAGTCTTTATTCATTGGGAGCGGTATTATCCTTATTGTACCATGATATTATCTAAATAAAGCCAGAGCCTACCATTTTGAAAATTTTACTTTCGTTTAGCTACCGAAAATTGATTTTTATTTATTTCTAGATAACGGTTGCAAATACGAAAAAATTACAAGAGACTAAAAGGTTTCCAAACAAATCAGAAAATCAAATTCCTATTTTATAATCTACCAGTGGTGCACCGAATAATAAATAGTTCAGGAGTAGAAAATGGAACTTTTTCTAAAATAAACCAAAGAATTAGACCTTTTCGTATTTACATCATATCTAAGCACACGCGCACACCTTCAAGAATGAAGATATGTAAAATGAAATCTACTAAAAAAGAGCTTGTCACGATATTGGTCCTTGAGCCGAATCGTATTTCTATTCCCAATGATATCTAAAACAATCCAGAGGACTTTTTCACTACGATTAAGCAAGTTAATCCAAAAATTACCCAACGGTCAACTATTCAAAAACGGCGTGTGATGCGAAAACGCCGGTGATAGGGTCGACGCAGTTAAAACTTAAAATGCAAGAACGAACTTTCGAAGATTTACTTTTTTGAATGGGTAAAATAGAGAATGAATTTCTACATAAATGTCATAATGAAATTATAGATAAAAGGAAAATTTGAATATTTCAGAAATTAGGTAAAGTTGCGGAAGTTCAATACAGTGTTAAATTTCTGTAGCGGTTTAATATTATG